AGGCCATGTCGAGACGAAAAATCTCATCATATTCATCGATTTCATTCGCTTAATGTACAGGTTCTATGAAACATCCCATGACGTTTCTCTGTGCCTACAGAACTCTGTAACCGTATTTGAGGTTCGGGTACGATTTGTTGGCATCTAAAAGGTTCATAGTGTCCGCCGTAATCAGGAAACTCTATTATAGTGAACTTCTCCATTTCAAGAGTCGTCTGTATCACTTGCTCGGTTGTGTTCGAGTTATTGGAATGAGCCCCCTTGTCAGAATATGGAGCGGCATTTTATCACGGAGGAAGCAAGGCCGTGTCTTGAGGCGTAGAGGACGGTGGTTTCTGCCTTTAGCGATGCCAGCCCCACATCCTCAAATAATAACAAGGGCGACTTGATTCTTTGAGGGTTAGTGAAAGACCTTTCAGCTATTTGAGTCTAGACTTTTCAATTCAGTGATCCGCTGTTTGGAGCATCATATGCATTATAATAATCCAAATAACATGGTCAGCATCGTGGAACGGTTGTGCATTGGGTCATAATATGCAGTGAAGATACGTCATCCCTCTCGACTTAGTTGGAAATGAGAAACGACGTGAGACAAAGTGACGTTCTTCCTCCTGTGTTGTTTGACCTTGTCCTTAACTGTGTGATAATGAGATGCGCTGACTATCACTCAGAAAATGAGCGTATTGGCAGAGTCAATTCAACTACTGTAAAAAGAACCGTTTCAATTCAGCCGATAAAAGATCAAAGAGACTGTTCACTCATAAGATCAGCCAACAAATATGTCATCCAACGGAGACCGGTTAGCTGAAACGGTTGGCATAAAATATCTAGGTTTAACTATTATCTACGACGCCGCCTTGACGCAGGCTGCACAGCAGAATTGCTCCGTCGCGGCAAGCGCATAGTATAAGTCTAGCTAAAGTGAGGCATCAACAGTTTATCAATGTGAAGAACTCGCTTTCTCTCCTCCTCCCCCTCATAAACCTCTCATGAATGGCCCAGAAACAACAATTTTAAGCAAAGTCGGCAAGTGTTGGCTGAACTCTTCTCAGCAATGATGTCTAAGCAGTGTTTGAAGGTTCGTTTGCACGGTTTAGTAATAATCTGAGGGACAGCATCAGGGACTCAGTTGTGATATGCATTGCTCCGATGCTGCAGCAGTGATGAGGCACGTAGTTCAACAACATAACGATTAAACGCATAATATCCAGTAGGTCGTCGGATAGTCTTGTGGGACTACGTTCACTGAAACCGCCGTCCAAGAGTCCAGAGACGAACTTGGACAAACCTCTGATTACCTAAGTGTACATCTACATATTATGCTGAAGTTTTGTCAGCTACCGGCTGGGTTTAAGGCGAATTCACACAGCATGGCCCATGCTTTTGCATGGCTACTCTTGAACACCATGGTTCCGTTACTGTTAGCAGGTCAACGCCCTGCCTCCAGTTGCTTTCGGCTGGTCGAAGGGCCTACGCAGAGTGGGATCAATCCCATGCTCAAGGGAATTAGCAGTTAATAAGGGAAAATTTACTCCACCCTTCTGTTTGAACCTGGCACTTAACGTGCCAAGCAACCAACGAACTCATTGCGCCACTGCCTTTCGTCAAATGCCTGAAATCGTTGAACGTCACCTGAATTGCTGTCCTGGGAATATCATAAGTTTGAGCACCGTGGCCGCTGGCTCAGAGCCTAAAACTCACGCACCTTATGGCCACTGTCTGCTATAGATCTACTAGAAGGGCTCACCTTTGCGCACCAGCAGCTTTGTTCATATTTTCCTGAGGTTTCACGTACATCATTTGAGTATTCTTTTTATCCACCGGTTGTCTTACACCCTCGTCCCGTGTTGCCTACTTTCCGTAAGCGGCTTTTGTGATATTTTCGAAGCCCCCTACTGAATGAGAACTGTGCGGTCGTTCCATGCTGCACCCTATCACTGTACATGGTATTCAGGGTTGCTGTTTTCAGCAAGCATTGATATTTGATGATTCATGTACATAACATTGAGAGACGAACGACGTGTTGAAGAACATAAGCCGAGGGATGATTCCTATCAGTGAGAATTTGTTTAAGAGGTCACTGTCCAACCGCATTGCCTCCGCTGGTTTGACGACCTGCCTAATGAATGCAAAATTTAATTTTTTGTTGAACAGCACCTGGACCGCTGTGAGGACAAAGCAATCGGTGGAAAGTATCTTGATGAGTCCTTCTCCGTTCAGAGAAAGGCCGGGACAACGAAGAATAAATAATAACAGAAAATTTAAATGCAAAAAATTTTTTCTATTGTGTCATGGAGACATGCCGGTAAGCGTGTAAAACTTCTGAAGTTTCACATTTTCGCTTTCTATGGCTTCTTGAACTTTTCAGGCTTTTCGAACACATCGCTTTGTACTGCGAGAAGTACACAAAAGTTACACCTCTCACTTTCCTGCTTGGATTTTACGTATCGTTCATCGCCGGACGTTGGTGGCGCATATTCCAGAACATCACGTGGTCGGACAGGCAAGTTTAAATTGACAATGGCAGGTTGCATTCTCTTCCCTAAGAGGTCGGCTTTGAACTCCGGAGGTTCTGAGTTCGAATCCGCTTAAAGCACAACCTTTGTTATAACCGTGAGTTAGCTTGAACTGAGAATTATGCCCACGTCTCTACGGCACAACTTGACCAGAGGCGAGTAGTAAGTTACACATACTTGCAAATAATAGTAAAAGCATAGTGATAACAGAGGGAACGTAGCGCATGGCCATGATATCCGTTGTGCGAGCGCCTCTTGTGGTCGCACTTCGTTTTGACCCTCCGGATAGCTGATTGTCAAATGTAATAGTCAGCACAATGTGTGTAACCGTAATTTCGGTTTCGAAATGTGTACAACGTCTGTGACGGTGCAGATCACAAATTCAAAGTTGTGAAGAAATAAATGTACAACTCCTTTACGCCAGATTTTGTATGTCTTCGTCATCAAACAGGTGAGAAGAATGTAACCTTTTTCATTCCTAAGATTTGTTACCGGGAATCAGGCCTCTAGTCCGTCGGCTTCTTCCTACAGTAATAGAATTCACAAGTTTTGGACCCCGAAAAAATGGACCTGCCCGAGAAGATCTTTCCTGAACGTAAAATAATCAGTGAAAATATGAGTAAGTAGGTCGAAACAAAAATTTCTTACAGGTCCTCTCAAACCCTCTGTATAACGCAGATCTCAATATCTATCTTTTGAATTCTTTTACAAAGAGGTTTTGTGGTTATACTTAAATTCACGTAAAGAAATCTGCGAGGCCTCACGAAAAGGGCGATCGTATCTTGCAGTACAGAACTCAATTTACAAGGCTTAATATCAGCAGATATTATCCAGATAGGTTAACGTTTCACGCTGCTGGATGATTTTCTCGGTAAACGGTACTGTAAGACTTGAATTGTGTGCCGACCCGATGTGAACGCAAAGACAATGCTAGACTCAGTAAAATATAACTCACGCCACAGCAACCGAGAGAGGTGAAAAGCTATGGCTGAGGGTAATATATATATAATATAGCTATCGCTGTCTACTCTTTGAACAGATTATGACAGTTGATCATGGTTATGTTTTTCTTGTTTTTCCGTTTGTTGCTGATGAGATGGAATGGAACACGAAGTCGGAATTACATTCATACGATTTTCAGTTACATTGTTATCACTGCGTCTGAGAATCAACTATTCTTTAACTTTCGTTTTGTTATGATTTATGAGTTTGTTTTGTTGCAGGCTGAACATAACCGTTTCATGCCTTGTGGAAGGCTCGGACCAGCAGAGTGTTAATCTCCGGAAGACGATTTTACGGTATGCTAATTTGTCGCAAGTCCTCGTCCTTCGTGACATCAGCAAACCGATGCATCAGCGGTACCCTACGTTGAACTACCTCGTCAGAGCCGGCTACATAACTGAGACCGAGCTGGTCGCTTACGAAAACACCAAGGCGAAGATGCACAAATTCTGGGTTCCGTTGCAGTGGGCGTACACAACGGTGTTGGACTGCCGGAAGAGCGACAAAATCAGGGCAGACATCTACGCCGTTCAGATTCTGAACGAGATCATGACCATACAGAAAAACATGCACGAACTGCTGTCGTACGACTGGATCACGGTGCCACTGGTGTACACCCAGGTAGGTGGTGAATGACCCTGGCTTTTACCGAGAATAAGTGGCGTTGTACAGTTGAGTTTCTAGGTCGTAACGATTGCCGTGTACAGCTACTTCCTGGCATCACTTTTCAGCCGCCAGTATTTAGATCCAACCATGCGCTACAGTGGCTACGAATTTGATCTGTACTTCCCGTGGATCACGATTTTCGAGTTTTTCTTTTACATGGGGTGGCTGAAGGTAGCCGAATCGATAATGAACCCTCTTGGCGACGATGACGACGATATCGAGGTAGGACGCATCATCGACCGAAACAACTTGGTAAGTTCATTTGCTATGACGGAAATAAATGCTGCTGGGCAGCAGCGTTCAACACATATGGAAACGAATAGAAACACTGTTCACAAGATTTGAGGAGTCTCCGGTTAAAGTGCCCCCCCCCATGAGCAAATCTTTGCATCTACCCACCGAAATGTGTTAAGAAACTTTTTATGCTGTTGCACTACAGGATGAGGGATAATAAAGTACATATTTCTAAGCCTGTACCGTCGCTGAAAGGAAAATGGTGCTTTCGCCAAGGGTGCGTTTCGCTTTCTCTCATGTTTTTGTTGTACATGTATAAGATAGGGAGAAGCAACCAGACGATGCTGAGACGAGAAGTTTGCTTGTTGGAGAGTGGAGTTTGGTTTGTTGGCTGCTTTGTTGGCATCTTCCAAACGTAGTCCTTAGCCGAGTTTGACCTATCCGAAAGGCGTGTGCACACTTGTCGAAAGCCATGAGCCATTTTCCTCTTTTATTCCCCTGTCCCTGCGCTCTACAGGTAAACAGGGGCTGTGGAACATGGTGAAAAGTTCACTGACCTCATCGTCAGTACCTACTGGTAATGGAAAATGTGAGGAAGTGATCAACCAGCCAGTCTAGAAGGCTCCTGGCTTTCTGCTTGAACCATCTTGAACCGAATCAAAAATGAGTACAAAGAAGGTGCCTTTGATCAACTGGATTTTTATTGCAATATTCATCCACGGTCATGAGTCATGGACCATGGCCGAAAAACAACGATCCTTGATAAAAGCGACTGAAATTAGATTTCTGAGATGAGTCGCTATTTTCAATCGTCTCGACATTGTCTGTAGTAAAGAAATCCGAGAAAGCCTTGGTGTAAAGCTGTTGCTTCTCCACACTGATAGGTCACAACTGCGATGGTTTCGACACGTCCTGTGAATGTCTCCAGAAACGAACTATCTCTTGCCCAACCGACAAGGGGGGGG